CCACACCCTGCCCACCCTACACCCAGCCCATCTCCTGGCCTGTCTGAGTGTTGGGTCCTGTGGGCTTCTCCTCTGTCTTCGTGAGCCGCAGCAGGTCATGGTGAAGCGTCCTCCTTCTGTGCTGGGGACAGCAGGACGCTCCCCCCTCTCTGGTCCCCGTGTCTGTCACCCGCTTCTCTCCCCTTCCCGCCTCACTCAGGACTGGCCCAGGTCCCGCCCCTTGGGAAGGCCTCCCAGCACCTGCCTGGTGACCTCACGTGGGTCACAGGTTCTCCTCACAAGGTGGCCCAGAGCTGCTCTGCTGCACAGGGCCCTCGCACGGAGGTGTCGGCCTGTGGGTGGGCGGCCAAGGCCCTGGTCCTGCCCCTGTGCCCCTGGGTGGCAGGGCCTCGGTGGAATGCACCTGTGGTTATGATTGGCGTGTTGTGGAGCGTCGTAGAGAAGTCCTGGGACTGTGTAGGGGCGTCCAGTGAATGGCTCCTTCTACTTGAGCACCCCAGAGGAAAGCCGCTGCCCCGTCAGGTGAGAGCAAATGGGGTCTGGACACATGTCATGGGGCATGAGTGCTAGTCACTGGCTGCTCTCTCCCCCGCAGAGGAAGAGCTCCGGAAGCTGCGAGAAGAGACCAACTCAGAGATGCTGCGGCAGGAGCTGGAGCGGGAGCGGCAGCGGCGAATTGAGCTGGAACAGAAAATGCAGGAGGTGTTGAAGGCCAGGTAATGCTTGCATTAGTCTGTTTCTGTTGCTATAATGCAATACCTGAGGCTGAGTACTTACAAAGAAAAGAGGCTTCCCGGGCTCACAGTTGGGCTCACAGATCTGGAAGGTGAAGGACATGGTGCTGGCATCGGCTTAGCTCCAGTGGGGAACTCTTGGTAATGCTGTGCGGCGGGAGTACATGCCAGAAAGAGGTCCCATCACAAGATGGGAAGTCAGAAAGGCTGACTTCTCTTGTAACAACTCTCTCACGAGAGCCAACTCAGACCCACTAGCGCTACCTTACTCCCTTCTGAGAGCAGCCCTGAGACCTGAGGCACCCCCCAGGCCCCGCCTGTCCCCCATCCCTACCAAGGACCAAGCGTCCAGCACATGGGCCCTGTGGGAAAGACCAACCCAGACTCTCGTGGGCAGCCTCTCCGCAGTGGGCAGGGTCCTGGAGCTGAGCCCTGCTCAGACCCTTGAGGTGGCCCTCTCCCTGTGAGTGGAGGTCTGTCACCACCCAGGCCTGGGCACGGAACCTTCACCTGGAGGCTCTGACGGGCAGGGACGGGCAGGGCAGGACTAAGAGACATTGGTGTGAGGCCTGCAGAGACGCCGGCAGCCCCGTCCCAGCCTGGGCCAGCAGGTGTGCCATCCTGTGGGGCTGGCCCCAGGAGGCTGGCCGGGCCTCTCAGGACCCCCGGGACCTGTTTCCCCTGCTTGCTCCCCTTCCAGGCCCTGCTGCCCACTCCGACGCTTTCAGCCTCTGTGGCCCCAAGATGGGTCCTGGACACCTTGGCTTCCCCAGCCCCCACTCGGTGCAGCAGCCTCAGAGCTGCCTGCAGTGTCCACCCCATCCTAGCTGTCTCTCACCCCACCCCGTGCCCTGGCTCCTGTGGGCTACTCACAGTGACCTTGCCCTTGGACATGGGCCCGGGCACTACTGAGCTGCCCCTGGGCTCATGGCCTCCTTGCTCACCACACTCTGCCCATCTAGTGAGCATGGCCTCTGCCTGGGGCGCCAGAGCAGCTCTGCAGGTTACAGAACCAGCCCCGCCTGCCCCGACAGCCCCAGCCCGTCCTCTGCGCAGCCCCTGGCACTGGGAGGCACTGGGTTCGCTCCTCAGCACCGCGTACAAGTAAATAAATAAAGGTTTGCGTCCACCAACTAAAAATATTAAAACAAAATGCCGGGAGGATGAGGCTGGAGAACCCAGGCCAGTGGCCCTGGTCCCGCCTCCTGCACCCGCACCCTCAGCACTGCCCACCCCGCCCTTGCCCACAGCCGGCCCCACCTGAGGGACCTGCTCCCAGCGGTGGTGGCACACCTCTCCCTTGGGGACACCTGTCCAGACCCTGGCTTCCTGTGGGAAGGATTTTTTCCCTGGTGGCAGCACCAAGGGTCATCTGCGGTGCCAGATGCCGCTCCCCCTCTGGGCTCCAGGCGGTGTCCTCTGCGGAGCTGCATTGGGAGGAGTGTCCCTTGTTCTGCTGCCTCCCCTCCCCACACTCCTGGAGACGCCTTTGGGCTTTCCGGGTGCTGCCCATCAGGCCACGCTCCCCCGGGACCTCCTACAGGTCACTGGGGCCTGACTGGGGAGGAGTGACCCAACCTTGCTCTGCCATGGCTGCGAGGTCAGCGCCCTCCCCAAACCAGACACCAGCCATGTCCAGTGAGCATCCTTGGGATTGAGCCCTGTGCAGGGGAGTGGCAGGGGCCTGACCCAGGCCGCGAGACCCTGGGGCGGACGGAGACTCAGGCGCTTGCTGGGCATGGGACTGTGTTCTCACCCACTAGCCAGGGTGCCATCGTCCCCTGCTGCAGAGCGTCCCGTCCAGCTTCGCCTGGGGGCCGAGCGCCCCCTGGTGGCTCTGGGTGGCTCTCAGCTGATCTGACCTCCCATAGTAGCACCAGCACCTCCACTTGCCCACCTGTCAGCACCCCTGGGTGGTGTGTGTGCCCAGCCTGGGTCGCTTCTGAGGCACGAAGGGCCAGCTGTGGTGGGCAGACAGGAACATGCAGGTCATGACCCAGGAAGTAAAATTGAGGGTCCCAGAAGCACTATGGGGCCCCTCCCCTGCTTTACATGAGGGTGAGAGTTTAGATCCTTCTGGAAACCTGAAGTAGGGGGTGGAGGGAAGAGCAGGTTCTGGGGGAGTGGGTGGCACTGGGCCATCCTGGGGAGGGCAGCTCAGGCGAGCTGCCGTGGAAACTCGGCGGTGATGCTCACACAAACCTGTTTAGTCGCTAAGAAAATCCCAGGAACACACCTTCCTCTGGGCCAACTTGTTAGTAGACATTGACTGTCCAGGGTCCAGAGCTCCTGGAAGCTTCTGGCTAGCCTGTGGTCTGGCCCACCCGGGCCCTGCCCTGATCTCCCTAGGAAGGACCCTCGCTCCTTGGCCCCTGCCCCTGGACAGCCCAGAATCGGGAAGGTGGGGGCCGGACGGCTCACTGTGGCAGGCGGAAGGCAGGAGGGCAGGCGCGTACCGGGAGGGAGTGAGGCCCGGTGACCCAGCTGGGGCCCACCTAGGCTGGGGCAGCAGGAGTGGGGCAGCTCCAGGCCCGGCTCCCACACCTTGAACTCGCTTAGGTCGCGGAGGCTCGGGAAGCCAGGCGTAGAGGCCCGTTGTGTGCCACCTAGACTTGTGGTTCGCACCCAGCGTCAGTGCAGGCCACCGTGGAGCACCGCAGTTAGCAAGCCAGCAGGCCTTTCCCACTGACAGGGCCCCGTGGGTGCTGGCTTTGGGGGTGCCCGTGCCCTCCTCGTCTCAGAGTCTGCGAGGCACTGCCTGCCGGGACATCCTGACACAGTGCCCCCGGCTTCCCCTCTGCTGTAAGAGGTGCTGCCCAGCAGCGTCGTGGTGAGCCTGCTCCTGACCTCTCGTGTGGTGTGCGCTGCTGGCAGGCACTTGGTGGGTCCTGGGGCTGGCGTCCTGTGGAGCAGGACACCAGCCTGGGTGCCTGCCTCATGCCCGAGGGCAGACTGTAACTAAATTCCTCTTTTTCTCTAGCAGGTCATTGTGTTGGGAACGGTCACCCGGCCAGTGACCTGCATTATTAGTAGAGGTGAAACAGTACTGGCCACAGCCCCTGGGGAGGCCTCACTGGCCTCTCAGAGATGCCCCCAGTCCCCCAGGGCCACCAGTGCTGAGGCGAGGCCCGGTCCCCCTGGCCTTGGATCAGGTACCTGCCTGGAGAAGTGCTCTTCCCGAATCCCTCGCTCCTTCAGGGCGTGTCCTGGTCCCTCTGCCCAGGACCAGAGGGACACCCAGCTGGAGTTCTGGAGTTACCGTGTGCCCTGGGCTGAGCTTCTGTTCCTGGTGAAGGCCCCTTTAGAAGCCCCTCTGGACAGGGACAGTCCCTCTGCTCTTTGGGAAGTGTGGGCCTGACCCCTCCTCCATGATCATGGCTCCTACCTGGGGACTCCCCCTCCACTCTGGTGCCTGCCCAGCTGCTCCTGAGGCCCTCACCCAGCACCAGCACTACCTGACCTGCCTCATACACGTGGTAATCACAGTCCCTGTGGCCGTCACAAGCCTGGGGACAATGGTTCATGGTGCTGTTGGTGTGTCGCTGTGGGATGGGAATGGAGCAGACAGCACCCCTCCCTCTACCAGTGGTGACCAGAGGGACACCACCCTGCGCACCCCCACCCCTGCCCAGGTTCCTGCAAGGCCTGGGAGCTCCGAGCCACAGGAGCAGCTTCAGTGCACCCGCAGCCATGACCAGTGCAGAGGGCCCAGCAGGCAGAGAGCCAGGACAGACAGCACCCAAGTGACCGGCCCAGGACCCAGCTCCCTTGGAGCTTGTGGTCAGAGGTAGTTGGGATCCACAGTGGACAGAGCCCAAGGGGCTGTGAGTACAGCTATGGTCAGGAGGCGGGGCTGTGTGTGGCCGGAGCCCAGCTGTAGTCAGGAGGCTGGGCTGGGGGACAGGAAGCCAGGCAAGGGCAGGTAGTTGACGTGGTCGAGCTGGGGCCTGGCACAGGCAGCTGACATGGCCTGGCCCCGCCAAGCAGATGAGTAGGTGGTGGCAGCCGTGTCCTCTGTGAGCAGAGCTGTCTGCACTTGAGCATCAGCAGGGAGCAGAGTTGGTACTTCGGGTCCCGTTTACTGGGTATTTCAAAGCAGAACACCTGTGCTTCAGGAACGCACCTCAGCTGTCCAGTGCCGTGGGACCTGCCCATGGGCACTCGGGGCTCCCACAGAGCCACGCCCACGTGCTGGGCGTGGGCGCCTCCCCCGCACCGCGTTTGCACTAACGCACTGACGGCTGTTTGGCCTCTTCTTCCTTCTCCTTAAGAGCCGAGGAGCAGCCGGCGCAGGCTCAGCCGACGCCCAGAGGGCAGAGCCAGGCCAACCACGGAGCAGGTAAGCCCACAAGTGTTCCCTGGGCATCCAGCGGTCTCCTCCCAGCAGCTCTGGGTCAGTGCCTCTCCCTGGGGACCTGGCCAGTCTTCACAGCAGACTGCAGGCGTGAGACCAGACCGAGGCCGCGTTGTCGCATAGAAATGTGGTGTGCTGTCTGAGCCTGGCCCTGCTAAAGTGGCCTTTCCCTGAGGCTGGTCCTCAAAACAAGGGCACAAGCAGGCAGTGGGGCTGGTGGTGGGAGTGCCCCAGCCCCTGGTCGGGTCAGCGCCCTCTCTCTTGCCCTTGCCTTCCTGCCCTGGGCACCTTTCTTCCTCCTGCCCCACCCGAGCTTTCTTAAGTGTCCCTCGGGGGCGGGACCGGGAGCCGTGCTCTGTGCTACCTGGGCCCTGGCCTCTGTGCCCTGGAGTAGCGTCTGTCCCACCTGTTGCCCATGCACAGGGCCTCCCTGCCTGCACCGTGAGACCAGTGTGGGGCTAGCTAGCTTGCTTCTCGGGGGAAGCGGCCCACCCTTTTCAGGGTTGCCAGGGCTGGACCCACGGTGGGAAGCCTGGTCTTGGCTTAGCTACTGTACCTTGGGTGGTGGCCTCCTGTGGCACTTGGCTCCATGGCCAGCGGTCAAGACTTGAAGTCCTTGACCTGTGCATCTTGGTCATCAAGCCAGAGGCAGAATAAGAGACCCCAGGCCCCCAATGCTGGGTGGTAGTGAGGACAGAGGGGTACGGGGTGGGAAAGCGCAGCTCCCTGGTCCTGCACAGGGCTGGGGACCCCTGTCCTCCTGTCTAACCGAGGTCTGTCTGGACTGCTCATGTCGAGGGCTGGTGGGCTCTTTGTGGGCATGGAGAGAGGAGGTACTGGTCCTCCACGGTGGCCGTGGTCACCCTCCAGGGGGTGGGGGGACAGATCCTTCGGTTGCTGCACCAGCTGGGGAAGGGGAGCTCCCAGAGCTGAGCAGCATTGGTGCTGGCGCAGGTGGGAGCCTGAGGCAGAAAGCTGCTGGGCTCAGCCTCCTCAGAGCCGGTCCTGAGGGCCTGGCCAGGAAGGCACCTCGCCTGGGCCTCCGCCTCCCTACACCTGCCCACAGCCCCCGGCTGCTTTTCCCCTCGGTAAGCCTTTTATGACCTTAAGTGTGAGAATCCGTCAAGGCAAGGCTGCTGCTTGACCAGCAGACCTTAGGCGAATCTGGAGTCTCCTGGCCATGACCCTCTCGGGCCGCAGCGCCCCCCTCCACTCCAGCTGTTTGCCTGCCCTCTCCCGAAGAGCCCTGCCCGTCCCACAGGACAGGGAAGTCCCCAGGAGCCTCCCTGCCTCGTCCTTCCTAGGGACTGGGCCTCCTCCCCTGCCCAGATAGCCGCGGGGACTCACCCCAGCCACTGCTGGCCTTGGCCCTGTGGCTTCTGTCCCTGAGTCTGAGGCACCTGGGGTTTCTGACCATGGACCACCTGCCCTGAGCCTGCAGCACACCTGGTTTGTTTTCTTTAATTTTTAATTGATATATTATATTCATAGTTTATGGCACAAGTGTCCAGTGATCACCTGCCCACCTTTCCCACTCCTTATTTATGGCAGGACAGCAGGACATGCTGTTCCCTGCAGGTGACCATGGTCCACCCCACTCTGCTGCTGAGCAGGATGCCTGCCATTCTGCCACATGGTGGCTTTCTGAGGTCTTAGCTTTTGATGACAAGAGTGAAACCATCTGCACTAACTCCCTGCACTCGCCCCAGCCAGCTGCCCGGCTGTCTGGCCCCGACACATCCCCTGCCCCAGCATTCATGAGTGTCCATCGGGTCTGGGGCAGTGAGCCCACTTGGTCACCTCCCAGACAAACCAGAGACAGAGAGGAGGTGTGCTGGGCACCTGTGGGAGGGGCAGACCCCGTGCCGTGGCGCTGGCAGCCGGAGCCGTGCGGTCCACACTTCAGGGTAGCACCGTGTCTTCAGATGGCGGAGCCTTGGGCCCCTCTGCTAGCCCCCGCTGCTCCATGGGGAGGTCCCTACCGTTCTGGGAGGTCCCTATTCATCTGGGCCTCTGCTCTGCAGTCCCCTCCCTGCCCGAGATCTGGGGACACCCCCAGAACAGGCTGCCCAGACCCGGGGTGCCTCTTACCACCTCTGCCCTTTCCCCAGACCGACGTGGCCAGGGACTGTCCTCCCGCCTGCAGAAGTGGTTCTACGAGAGGTTTGGGGAGTACGTGGAGGACTTCCGCTTTCAGCCAGAGGAGAGCACCGTGGAGACGGAGGAGCCCCTCAGTGCCAGGAGGTGGGCGCTGTTCCAGCCTGCAGGACTGCCCGACATGGCTGCTGCCAGCCCCCGCGGCTCTGGGTCCTGGTTCTGGGGGATGTGTCTGACAGGGGCCTGCAGAGCCCGCCCAAGAGCTGAGCTATCTCACATCCACACCAGTCCCCTTGGGGTTTGTGACAGCTACGTGTGGGGACGCTGTATGCAGGGTCCCATGCCCCTGCCAGGGCTCTCCTCACACAGTGTGGGCTGTTGGGCTGTGAGCCTGGCCACTGCACCTTGGCTGTCCCTGCCAGGTGGCCTGGGACCCCTGAGAGATCCCCTGCTCGCCAGGGGTGTGGGCCAGATGCAGGGACAGTCTGCTGGAGGTCTTACCTTCCTACCTAGGGAGCAGCTCTGGGTGCCAGGCTGCCGCCGTGTGACAGTCCTGTTGTCCCCTGACCCCTGAGTGCCAACAGGGCGTGGCCAGGCGGGGTGGGGCTGGCCGAGGCGCTAACCTTGGCCCGTCTCTCTCCCTTCTCCTAGGCTAACGGAGAACATGAGGCGGCTGAGTAAGTGTGGGAGCTGTGGGTGGGCACTGCTCTGAGCATGAGAGGAGCTGAACTTCTCTCCAGAAAAATGTGTTTAAGCGAACAAGACCCCTCCCAGGCCTCCTGGGGAGAGGCTCAGGTGGAGGAGTCTGGGGGCCTGTAGAGCAGAGCCCGCTCTGGCCAGCCTAGCGTGGGGTGGAAGCCGTGGCATTCCTCGGGTGCCCCCCAGGCCCTGGGGAGGGGGAGGTGTGCCCCCAGCTCTGTCCCTTCCTCTTCTGCCCACCAGCCGTCCTGGGGAAGATGGCTTTCCCTCAAAGAACCACTGACCCCAGGAAACCACTGGCCGGTGTTGGGCCCGCTAGGAGCCTGTGGCAGTTTGGGCCTTGGAGTGGGTACTATTGGGCTGGGAAATGGCCTGACCCTGAGCGTGTGCCATCTGTTCCGTCCCCAGAGCGCGGGGCCAAGCCTGTCACCAACTTCGTGAAGAACCTCTCTGCCTTATCCGACTGGTACTCAGTCTACACCTCTGCCATCGCCTTCACCGTGAGTGGCCCCTGCAGGGTGGGCAGGTGGGGGTCACAGCCTTCCTGGGGCCCAGCAGGTGCTCCGTCTCAGTCTCTGGTCTGTCCAGTGGGTCCACAGAGTGGCCAGGTCGGGTAGAGGTGCAGGGCCCTGGATGGGAGGTAG